CAGGCAAAGATGGGTATGATAAAGGACAGAAACAGTATGGACCTAACCAAAGCAGAAGAGATTAAGAAGTGTTGGCAAGAATGCACAGAAGAACTATACAAAAAAAAAATGTATTAATGATACAGATAATGATCATGGCATGGTAACTCACCTAGATCCAGACATCGATGAGTGTGAAGTCAAGTGGGCCTCAGGAAGCATTACTACGAACAAAGCTAGTGGAGGTGATGGGTTTCCAGCTGACTTATTTAAAATCCTAAAAGAATGCGATTAAAGTGCTGTACTCAATATGTTAGCAAATTTGGAAGACTCATCAGTGTCCACAGGACTTGAAAAGATCAGTTTTCATTGCAATCCCAAAGAAGGGTTATGCCAAAGAGTATTCAAACTACTGTTCAAATGCACTCATTTCACATGCTAGCATGGTTATCCTCAAAATTCTCCAAGCCAGGCTTCAATAAGACATGATCAAAGAAGTTCCAGATGTACAAGCTGGGTTTAGAAAAGAGAGGAATTGGAGGTCAAATTGCTAACAGTCAATGTATCATTGAGAAAGCAAAAGAGTTCCAGAAAAACATCTCTTTCTGCTTCATTGACCATGCTAAAGACTTTGACAGTGTGGATCATGAGAAACTATGGAAAATTCTTAAAGGCATGGGAATATCAGACCACCTTACCTGTCTTCTGAAAAACTTGTATGCAGGTCAAGATGCAACAGAAAAACACAGAAAGAGTGCAAGGCTGTATATTGTCACCCTACTTCTTTCAAATTCTAAAAGATGATGCAATTAAAGTGCTGCCCTCAATATGTCAGCAAATTTGGAATCTTCAACAGTGACCACAGAACTGGAAAAGGTCAATTTTCATTCCGATCCCAAAGAAAAGAAATGCCAAATAATGTTTAAACTACTGTACAATTGCACTCATTTCACATGCTAGCAAGGTTATGCTAAACATCCTTCAAGCTAGGCATCAATAGAACATGATCCAAGAGCTTCCAGATGCAGAGCACATTATGCAAAATATCAGGCTGGATGAGTTACAACCTGGAATCAAGATTACCAGGAGAAATATCAACAACCTCAGTTACACAGATGATATCACCCTAATGGCAGAAAGTGAAGAGGACCTAAAGAGCCTCTTAATGATGATGAAAGAGGAGGCTGAGAAAACTGACTTAAAACTCAAAATTAGAAACCTAAATCATGGCATCCAGTACCATCATCATGGTAAATAGAAGGGGGAAAAGTGAAGCGGTAACAGATTTTATTTTCTTGGGCTCCAAAATTACTTCAGATGGTGACTAAAATCATGAAATTAAAAGATGCTTGCTCCTTGGAAGGAAAGTTATGACAAACCTGGACAGCATATTAAAGAACAAGGACATCACTTTGCCAACAAAGGACCCTATAGTCAAAGCTATGGTTTACCCAGTAGTCATCTATGGATGTAAGATTTGAGTCATAAAATGGCTGAGTGCTGAATAATTGATGCTTTCGAGCTGTGGTGCCAGAGAAGACTCTTTAGAGTCTTGGACTGCAAGACTATTGGAGTCTTGGACTGCGAGGAGATCAAAAGAGTAAATTCTAAAGAAAATCAACTCTAAATATTCATTGGAAAGACTGATGCTGAAGTTGAAGTTCCAATACTTTGGCCACCTGAAGCGAAGAGCTGACTCATTGGAAAAGACCCTGATGCTAGGAAAAATTGAGGGCAAGAGAAGAAGGGGGCAACAGAGGATGATAATGTTAGATAGAACCACCAACTCAATGGATGTGAATCTGAGCAAACTCCAGGAGATAGTGAAGGACAGAGGAGCCTGACATGCCACAGTCAATAGGGTCACAAAGAGTCAGACACAGTTTAGCAACTGAACAACAATAATCTTGAAGATAGTCTTCCTCGAGAATTGTTGTTGTTGCTTAGTCACTAAGTCATGTCCAACTTTAATTCATGTACAATCCCATGGACTGTAGCCTTGCAGGTTCCTCTGTCCATGGGATTTCCCAGGCAAGAATACTGGTGTGAGTTGCCGTTTCCTTCTCCAGGGGATCCTCCTGACCCAAGGACTGAACTTCTGTCTCCTGCTTGGCTGGCAGATTCTTTACCACTGAGCCACCTGGGAAGTTCCCTGAGAATAGAAACAGTCAAAATACCACACAAACTTTCCATCTTTATGTTCTTTGCTCATCTACTTTATTCTTGAGAATTGGAATTGGATGTCTTTGGAAACGTATTTGATAAATTTCAGCATTTACTTAAGATGAAAACACCAATTAAAAAGGATTAGAGAATTCCCTTATCTTGATAATAGCTAACTATCAAAGACTGAAAGGAAACAGTACATTCTCAAGACACATTTTCTTTAAAATCAAGAATAAGATTATAATTCATTAGAAACATCTTAATTTCTTTCTTTCACAGCCCTTCTTGGATCCTGTTGACTCAGTATATATCTAAAATCTAACTGCTTGTGAACCACATTGCTACCAGCCTGGCCCTCATCACTATTATCTATCTCCTTTATTACTACAGTAGCCTCCTAATATATCTCTTGCTTCTAATCATTCCTCTTCATATCCTCAACATGGATGCAATTTATTGACCATCATTTAATTGATAAAGTTTATTAAAATGTATATTTAGAATTAACAAAGTTAAATTAAACCTAATGAAACAAAACGAGAACAACAACAAACTCTAGTACTTAATTTCACTCAGAATAAACGTCAAAATGCTTACAACTGCCAATAAGATCCTAGATAATCTGACTTGCTATTCTCTCTGATCTCACCTTTTCATCAGTCTAATAAAACCATACTGGCATCCTTCCATACATCCCAGGAGTAGGACTTTGCACAGATCCACTCTTCAAGCTAGAATCTTATTTCCTCAGATTTCCATGTGGTTAAATCTTTCTTCAAATATTTACTCAAATATCAATTTTTCAATGAGGTTAATCTAACCATACAATTTATAATTGCAACAATCCCCACTACTGCATACTAGTCCTCACCTCATCTACATTTTTTCCTATGAAATTTGTTACCTTCCACTATGTAATTTACTTATTTGTTATGTTTATTTTGTTTATCCTTTGGTAAAACGTAAGCTCTGTGAAGATAAAAACTCTTTGTTTATATGTCCAAGATAAAAACTCTTTGTTTATATGTCCAAGAGAGTGGCTGGTACTCAATATTAATTTAATAAATCAATTAATTTGTCATTTATTAGAAATTAGCAAGAAATGAATGAAAGAATTGCTGGACATTTTTTAAACTCCAGATGGTACTAGATAGTATGAAATTTTCGTCTGCCCAGTTTATGAATTAACTTATTCATTCACCCATTCAGTTAGGGTGAAAAAGTGATATATGAACTGGGTCATGAAAGATAAAAAAATATTTTTAAAAGGCAATGGGAGAAGTTTCTATTCAAGAATACCCAACTAGTTAATACCAGAACCAGTCTATGAAATTGCATCATGAAACGGAATATGAGTATGACATTGAAAGATGAAATTAACTGAAGGAAGAAATAAAATTTCCAGACCAGGAAGCAGATAAAGTGGTTGATGGGAGTGACACAGAGTTGGCAACAAGCATAGTAAGCATAATGCAAGGCTAAGGGGCATAAAAGCAGCAATAGAAAATTGTGATTCCTCTACTACAACTTCAGTTTTCTTTTTAAGAAATACTAAACTATAAATAAATGGAAGATGAACAAAGTACTGATTTGTTCCATGATGATTCTTTAATTTAATATATATATAGTTTCAAGATATTTCTTTTTACCTGTTAAATAACGGTGTTGATACACTGCTTCTTTGCTCTGCTCTAAGTGTGCAACTAATCTACCCTTTCCCCTCACTCACCATTAGTTTTGATGTCTTCTTGCTGACGTCTGACTGTCAAGAATAAGCTCTAATTCCATGATCTGCCTTCCTTAGGCAAAGTTCCATTTTCTGAACATTCCCAAAACACTTTTATGTATGGAAAAAATTCTACTACTACTCTCTGAACTTTGAATAAATGAATAAATACACCACTATCCCTGAAGCCTCAACAGTTCCAAGTAAGATATACAGATATATGTATATCTATGTATCTATACCATTAATTCATTGCTGATGGCAAAACAGGAACAACACAAACTGGTTAAATTTCTTCTAGACCTATATGGAACTATGTAGGAAGAGTCACAAATGGGATGGTACTATTTGATTCAGTAATCCTATTAGTAAAAATGTATTGTAACAAAAAAAAAGTCAGCAGAAGGAAAAAAATAACTCTGGACATAAGGATGATAATTGCAATACTGTTTATAAGACAAAAATTTTGGAATTAAACTAAATGTAGAAAATTAGAAGATTGGCTTACTGAAATATAAAACATAGTCTTTATTCATTGAAATACTAGTTGTGAGACCTTGAGTTTAGAGGGGAAAGTTTATACTATAATATTAAGGGAGAATGTAGAGGAAAATACTATAGGTTTGCAACTATATGTAATTTGCAACTACTCTACAAACAATAGACAGTAATGTGCAAATGTGAAAACACTTGTATTAATGTGGTGAAATTTAGAGAGACTATCAGTATGTTAAATGTATTTTTGTGTTTTTATATTATCAATTTTTGAAGTCCTTGTCCATTAAAGTAGTTGTATTCATAATGTAACATTGGTTAGGACTTAGTTCCTACACAAATGGTGGTGCTTGGACTAGTATTCAGTATTTCACATCTTTAAGTGAACATTAGGATCATGCAGAGAAATTATTAAACATGCCATTGCTGACTCCATCTCAGGCTTTTACCTGGTAACTCTGGGGTGGGGTGCAGGGATCTACATTTTTAATAAGAAAACATAAAAATCATATCCAAGTTTGCTTCCAATTGTGTGTTTCATTATGGTCTTTAACACACCAGGAACTCTCTATAATTACTAGCTTTTTCTTAATCCTACTATTTATTTTAAATTTTTTTCTACTTTATTCCTCAGCCTGAAGCAAAATGGATTCATAAGCTGCTTTAAAGAACAACTGAGCACTTCATTTCACAGAATGGCCTTACCACAGTTAACAATAGCTACTCTCAAATGAGCATTTCTACTTCTGTGAAACTGTAATAAATAAAAACAAGTCTTCTCTGAGCACCAGGAGTTGATTTTTTACACATGATTTATAAAGGTGATGTATAGATGTATGATTTATTTACTAAAACCCTGATCTACTCAAGACAAAGTTTTGCAGCATTTTACAGCACTTCACTTTGGAAGCTACTTCTGTGTTCAGGCTGTAACAGCAATGTTCTTTGGGATTCTCTTGTGTGTTCTGTTAAATTTCTGTTTTACTTTATATTTAGAAAAAGTAAAGAAAATGAAAGGAACCAGATCTTTCACACCATTAAAATAAACAGAGATATATGTAGATCATAATCCCCACCACCCACATACATAAACAAAATTCCAAATGCAATCATTTATCTTTAGAAATTATTTCTTTAGTTTATTATTTTATTTAATGATACACTGCAAGTGACTGTAGGAGGATAAAACATGCTTATCAATCATTATACAAATTCCTATGAATATGCTTTTCATATTCCTTCTGGAGAGAGGAAATGGATGTGGAAGGAAAAATACATGCATGTATCCATGCATGCATATAGACATACATACAAAGAGACAATCTGTTCAGGCTGCTGTAATAAAAATACCATGAACTGAGTAGCTCATGCCAAGATGGGCACAATAAAAGACAGAAATGGTATGGACCTAACAGAAACAGAAGAGATTAAGAAGAGGTGTCAAGAATACACAGAAGAACTATTTTAAAAAAATCCTAATGACCTGGATAACCACAATGGTCTGACTAGTTACCTACAGACTGACATCCTGGAGTGTGAAGCCAAGTGGGCCTTAGGAAGCATCACTACAAAGCATCAAGAATCACTACAAGCATCACCACCATCACTAGTGGGGGTGATGGGATTCCAGCTGAGCTATTTCAAATTCTAAAGACAACACTGTCAAAGTGCTGCACTGAATATGCCAGCAAATTTGAAAAACTCAGTAGTGGTCACAGGACTGGAAAAGGTCAGTTTTCATTTCAGTCCCAAAGAAGGGCAAGACCAAAGATGCTCAAACTACCACATAATAGCTCTCATTTCACATGCTAGCAAGGCAATGCTCAAAATTCTTCAAGCTAGGCTTCCACAGTATGTGAATTGAGAAATTACAGATGTACAAGCTGGATTTAGAAAAGGCAGAGGAACCAGAGATCAAACTGCTAACATTCATTGGATCATAGAAAAGGCAAGAGAACTCCAGGAAAATATTTATTTCTGCTTAAAGACTTAAACTGTGTGGATCACAACAAACTATGGAAAATTCTTAAAGAGATGGAAGTACCAGATCACTTTATCTGCCTCCTGAGAATCCTGTATACAAGTCAAGAAGCAACAATTAGAACCTGACACGGACAGCAAGGCTACATACTGTCACCCTGCTTATTTAACTTAAATGCAGAGTACATCAATGTGAAATGCTGGACTAGATGAAGCACAAAGTGGAATCAAGATTACCAGAAGAAATATCAATAACCTCAGATATGGAGATGACACCACCCTTATGGTAGAAAGCAAAGAGGAACTAAAGAGCCTCTTGATGAAGGTGAAAGAGGAGAGTGAAAAAGCTCACTTAAAACTCAACATTCAGAAAACTAAGATCATGGCATCCGGGTCCATCATTTCATGACAAATAGATGGGGAAACAATGGAAACAGTGAAATAATTTATCTTCTTGAGATCCAAAATCACTGTAGATGGTGACTGCTGCCACAAAATTAAAAGACCCTTGCCCCTAGATGGCTTATTAAAAAGCAGAGATATTACTTTGCCAACAAAGGTCCATATAGTCAAAGCTATCATGAAATTAAAAGATGCTTGCTCCTTGGAATAAAAGCTATGACCAACATAGATAGCATATTAAAAGGCAGAGACATTACTTTGCCAGCAAAGGTCCATCTAGTCAAAGTTATGGTTTTTCCGGTAGTCATGTAGGGATGTGAGAGTTGGACTATAAAGAAAGCTGAGCACAGAAGAAATGATGCTTTTGAACTGTGGTGTTGGAGAAGACTCTCAAGAATCCCTTGGACTACAAGGAGAGCCAACCAGTCAATCCTAAAGGAAATCAGTCCTGAATATTCATTGGAAGAACTGAGACCGAAGTTGAAATTCCAATACTTTGACCACCTGATGGTGGCCACAGACAGACAAATATTTGGTGACTTTCCTTCACTTTACTCGGTCTGCTTTCTGTCCTTTTATTATTATATAGACTTCTATTTTCTCTTAGAAATTACTAGATTTCAAATCCAATTCTTAAATAGGTGTCATTTTATAGCTCATTTTATAAATTTACACATGCCCTAAATGACACATGAAAGGTTTCTCATTTAGACATTGTAAATACAGAAAGTTTAGAAACAATCCAATTTTCTATCAATAAGTGATTGATTGATATATAAAAATACTTCTCAGGGAAATGTCATATGGATGTGAAAAAGAATGTTACCTCTCTATGTCATGAGATAGAAAGATGTCCAGTATAAATATAAGTGAAAAAGTCAAGGTGCAGAAGAGAGCATATGGTGTATGAGCTATAGTATTTTTTTAAAAGGTAGGAGAATGTATATATATATATATATATATATGTATGTATTTCACATGAATATATATATATATATACATATAGATTCACATAAATAAACTTACCAATAAAGGAGGAATGATGCTTCAAGAAATGAATAGACGAGGGACAAGAATGAAGTTCAGACCCCGAACTGATATTCAGCTAGCATGCACAAATCAAGCCATATTTTTTGATAAAATACTTCCAAAAGAGTTGGTAAATGGCACCTATATTGTTTACCCTACAACTTAAATGTCACTCTGGCCTCCTCACCTAAAGCCCCAGAAACTTACAAGGAATCAAATGCTAAAATATAATGAGAAGTATAAAAGGCTTTTTGAGGGAAACAATGGTGATAAGTAAAGGAAAAGGGGAGGAGGAGTAGGTGGGGAGAGCCTTCAAACTACCATGCAGTTTTGGCTTCTGTGAAAGGAAAAAGAAAAGAAAGGAGAGGTGAGTAGGAAGAGCCACACTGCGCTGTAGCTCAGAGAAAGTTTCAACTAGGCTAATGAGGAGCACAGGATTCTGTGTTGGGTAGGAATATCCTGGCCTGTGTTCTTCCATGGTGTTCAATTACTGGCTGGGAGCAGTCTAGTGAGAGTGTGGACACAGATTTCACACTGGTGGAATTCAAATTTGCAACAGCTAGAAACTGTCAGGTGACTACACTGCTCACAACAGGATCTCCAAGTGAGATCTGAGCAGCAAGCTCCCATAACTATGAATACAAGGATCCACTTCTCCATCCATATTCGCTCCTCCAAAGTTTGTCTGTGCTTCCCCTTCTTAGGGGAAATTTAAAGGAGAAGGGATAAACATTTCTTCTCCCAAAGAAAACATATAGACACATGAAAAATGTTCAATATTGCTAATTATTATAGAATTGCAAATCAAAACCACAATGAAAATCACCTCACACCAGTCATAACGGCCATCATTAAAAAGTCTACAGACAAATACAACAAGAATACATCTAGAAGGGACTTCCAAGATGGTGGAAGAATAAGATAGGGAGAACACCTCCCTCTCCACAAATACATCAAAACTTCATCTGCATATGCAACAGCTACAGAACACCTTCTGAACAAGGCAGAAGAATCCAGACTTCAAAAAGGCAAGCCAATCTCCTTAGAATGAGAACGGGAAAAAGATGAAGATTTTAAAAAGTGAGAGATAAAGATTTTATGACAGAGAACTGTGCTCCCAGAAGGGAGTCCTGAAAAGTTTCCACACACTCGCAGACCCCCACATGGGTGGGGATAGGAAGGAACTCGGGAATTTCAGTGGGGAACGCAGCAATAGGTGCTAAGAAGGCAAAACAGAAAGAATTCACAATGAACAGCACTTCCCAGTAAAGAAAAGGCTTACATGCTCATGCCTACAGCGGTGAGTGGGGGCTGAGTGCTCAAGCTCAGGTTATGGGGGTTAGGCCCAGGTAGCGGACTGCAGTTGACTTCGACGAAGATACTCAGGGGGCTAGTATGACACAGCTGAAGGAATCCAGAGAAAAGCCTGGACCTCCCACAGAGGCAAGAGATAATTGTTGCTGGTACATTCTAATACCACATGCTTGCAAAGAGTGGCTGTGCCCCCAGTGGTGGCCAAGAAAGCTGGCAGGAGCACCAGTGGTGGGACTAGATTCAACTACAGTTTACTATTTCAGATGGGAAAACATAAGCCAGTAATCATTGCCAAACCCATGGAGAGTATGTGAGGCAGTGGACAAAATGCCAACACTACAGTCCTGACTACAGAGGTGGCAGTTGCCACCAAGCTGTGAGTGGGCACAGGGCTCACACCTTGCTAGGAGCCTTATCAGCTTGGATCAACCTAGGGACTCATGAGTCTAGGCCAGTTCCCTGAGGGAAGTGCACAACCTTCTTCATACTGTAAATAAATCTGGCAGGTATCTAATGCCATATGCAGTCCCTCAGTTCAGTTCGGTCGCTCAGTCGCATATGACTCTTTGTGACCCCGTGAATTGCAGCACGCCAGGCCTCCCTGTCCACCACCAATTCCCAGAGTCTACCCAAACCCATGCCCATCGAGTAGGTGATGCCATCCAGCCATCTCATCCTCTGTTGTCCCCTTCTCCTCCTGCCCCCAATCCCTCCCAGCATTAGGGTCTTTTCCAATGAGTCAACTCTTTGCATGAGGTGGCCAAAGTACTGGAGTTTCAGCTTCAGCATCAGTCCTTCTAATGAACACCCAGGACTGATCTCCTTTAGGATGGATTGGTTGGATCTCCTTGCAGTCCAAGGGATTCTCAAGAGTCTTCTCCAACACCACAGTTCAAAATCATCAATTTTTTGGTGCTCAGCTTTCTTCACAGTCCAACTCTC